GGCGCAGTCACTTACCACCGGCCAGGAGGGTTTGATCCCCTACAACTTCGTGGCCATGGCAAACAGCCTGGAGCCTGAGCCGTGAGTAGGGGGTTGAGTAGGAGCCATGTCCCAGTGCCGGCGGTGTGGGGGAAGGTGTCAGGAGCATCCCCAGAATTGCTGGTGGGAGAAGGTGGCCTGAGCCACCCCAGCCGTAACCCTGCCCCGTGTGCCCAGGTGGTTCTTCAAAAACATTGTCCGCAAGGATGCGGAGCGGCAGCTTCTGGCGTCAGGCAACACGCACGGCTCCTTCCTCATCCGGGAGAGCGAGACTTCCAAAGGTACTGCCCCATGGGTCCCACCGGCATCTCCAGCCATGGGCGCTGGGAAAGGTGCTGGGAAGCAGGGGAGGAGTGCTGGGGTCCCAAACCCAAACCCATCTCCCAGGGTCCTACTCGCTGTCGGTGAGGGACTTTGACCAGAACCAGGGTGAGACGGTGAAGCACTACAAGATCCGCAACATGGACAACGGGGGGTACTACATCTCCCCCCGCGTCACCTTCAGCAGCCTGCACGAGCTGGTGGAGTATTACACACGTACGTGACGTCCAGGGACTGCTCCTGCCTGCAAGCAGGGGACAGGATGGGGATGGGAATGGGGATGGCATGGGGTGGGATGGGATGGGACGGGACGGGATGGGACGGGACAGGACGGGATGGGAGGAGCAGGACACGCTGCTACCCACACTCCAGCGAAGTCGTTAATTTGCACTGGGCACCCTGTGCCCTCTGCCCGCACTGACGCTGGCTCTGCTTGCCCCTGTGCCGCAGGCAGCTCCGATGGGCTGTGCACCCGCCTCGGCAAGCCCTGCCGGACCCAGAAGCCGCAGAAGCCGTGGTGGCAGGATGAGTGGGAGGTGCCGCGGGAGTCGCTGAAGCTGGTGGAGAAGCTGGGAGCGGGGCAGTTTGGAGAAGTCTGGATGGGTGAGTCAGGGCGAAACTGGGGTGCTTCCTCCCGGATGAGGGCAATGGTGTGGGCAGTGTCAGCCAGGACTGTGGTGGCATCCTCGGCCGGTGTCCCACATGCAGCAGCCAGCAGAGCCAAGCGTGGGACCTTGGCTTTTTACAAGGGCCCTGGAAGGGAGAAAACCAGCAGCTACAGCAGCCCAGGGGCAGCTCTGGTTTACCCAGAGCAGCCCAACCTTCCTCCTCCTCCCATCCCTGGCCGCCCAGACCCCTGCACCGCCGTCCGTGCAGGCACCCGCTGCTGGGATGGGTATGCTGGTGCAGACGTGCAGGCACAGGGGCTGCACCATGTCCTCCTCGTTGAGCTGGGCTCTGCTCACCATGAGAGCAGCTGCTGGGTTTGGCATGGGGCCCGTGAGCACTGTGCATGTCCCCGCATGGGAAATGGCCCTTGTTGTGGCTGTCACTGCGATGCTGGGAGCAGATGGGGGCTCAGAGGCAGCGCGGGGCCTTGAGTGTGTTTCCACCCAGCCACAAAAGCACCTCCTGGTCCCTGGGTGCCGTGGTGGGGAAGGCTCTGGGGCTGCCCTGCTCCCCTCCATCCTGCCCTGGAGCAGGGCCCCTGCCTTTGCTCCCACAGGCTGTCCCACAAAGTCCCTGCTGGGTACCCAGCGGGAGCCAGGCTTCAGCATCACTGTCCGGCTCCCCCAGCCACCCCTCCCCTGTTCACAGCCCAGCAACCAACAGCTTCCTTTCCTTCTGGTGGCTGAAAGCCACACCTAAAAATACCTGCCTGCTGGGTTAAAGTGGGATTACAGATTTTTGCCCAGGCAGCAGCCAGCACAGGGCTGTGATCCTCCCCGAAAGTCCTCTGTCCCGGCTGCAACAGCAGTCCTCCAGGGCGTGAGGGTCCTCTGCCCATCTTCAGCCAACCTTTGTAATCTGCAGCATCTCTCACTTGTGCAGTCTTGGGTGGGGATGCTCTAGATCCACAGAGTAGACCCCACGCTTACCTCCTTGGCTACTGCCGTTATGGCTGCCCTCGGTGCCTGGTGTTGGGGTCCCTCTCCCCCATCACGCTCTGCCCCATCTCTCCACAGGCTTCTACAACGGCCACACCAAGGTGGCCATCAAAAACCTGAAGCAGGGCAGCATGTCACCCAGCGCCTTCCTGGCAGAGGCCAACCTCATGAAGAACCTGCAGCACCCGCGGCTGGTGCGGCTCTACGCCGTGGTGACGAAGGAGCCCATCTACATCATCACAGAGTACATGGAGAAGGGTGAGGGCACCTGGGTGCTGCCCACCATGGGTGGGGGTGGCTGGGGGCTGTGAAGAGCCGTAGTCCTTTGGCTCTTGGCTGTTCCCGTCCAGCGGTCGGCGCTGGATTATGTGTCTTGAGCTGCTTTTGGCATCCTTTGACTCTTCACGCTCTGCCTTTGCATCGCGGCTGTCCCACCAGCTGGGAGCTTGGGGGTCAGCCCTGGCAGGGGGAAAAGGACCTTGCAAGCAGGGTGGTCTCCTG